AAGCTTTCTTGGCTTCTGTGATTCCAAACACGTCGACTGCTGGCATTTTTTTTTTCTTTTGACCAGTGTCTCTTAAGTTTAGTTGTACTGTCTCCAAGGGAAGGTGGCGTGTCCTGTAGAACTCCTGTGTAGATTATGGTTTCCTTTCGGCCCTCGGGCCCGCCGGTTTTCCCTGTGTACCTTTGAAAGATGCCTCTTCGTTTTTATCTAAGGTGACTTCCCCCTTTGAGCCACTTCCCGGCTTCCCTTCAGCCCAGGAGCATGTTGTCCCTGTCCCCTAGGGCCTCCTCCCACTGGTTTTCCCTGTGTACCTTTGAAAGATGCCTCTTAGTTGTTATCTGAGGTGACTTCCCCCTGTGTGCCACCTCCAGGCTTCCCTTCGGCCCAGGAGCAAGTTGTCCCTGTCCCCAAGGGCCTCCTCCCGCTGGTTTTCCCTGTGTACCTTTGAAAGATGCCTCTTAGTTGTTATCTGAGGTGACTTCCCCCTGTGCGCCACCTCCAGGCTTCCCTTCCGCCCAGGAGCACATTGTCCCTGTCCCTAAGGGCCTCCTCCCACTGGTTTTCCCTGTTGTCTACAAAAAATTTTTTAAAAAATAAAAACGCTTATCCAAGACTCCACAATCAACCAAAGGTTTATCAAGTGTCAGTCACATAGTTACTCTGCCTACCATGTACCAGCATTTCATATTCTCAGAAGAATGGCTGATGATCTGATAATCAGTATTTTTTGCATAAGTAGTTTAGGCACAGTCAGCCATTTATATCAAGTAGAGTGTAGAGTGGCAGAAACAGTTCTTAAATGTTCCATGTACCAGCCAAGGCCCTGCCCAGAAACAGGATTACCCAAGAAGTGAAATAGTACAGACATTTAACACCAGTATACTGACAAAGATGGTGAAACTTCATCTCACATTCTTTGGGCATGTTGTCAGGAGTGGCCAGTCCTTGGAAAAAACAATCATGCTGGAAAAGGTGAAGGGTTATAGAAAGAGAGAAAGACTCCCAACAAGATGAAATGACACAGTAACTGTAATTGTGGGTTCAAGCCAGTCAGAAATAGTGAAGATGGCTCAGGATAGGGCAGGGTTCAAATCTTTTCATTATGTCATAATAGTCAGTATGTCAGGATAGGGTGGGGTTCAGACCAGTTCATTATGTCATTATGTTTGTTGGCTGTTAAAATGTCACCTAACTACAGCATTGTAAGCAATCCTTAAACTAAGCAATCCCTGCTTGCCATGCTGACTGGTTATTCTATTCTTGTTAGTGGTTGTAAATTTAAAAAGAAGCTTTGATTCTGTGGGAAGACACTCTGGGGTTAGGAGCGAGACAAGCGACAGTGATATCTAGAAGCGGAATCCTTGATGTGGTGAAATTTTTCTCAACAGATTAGTAGGTAAGCACAAATATACGAAGGTTTACCTTATGTATTAGCTAATCTGACAGTGGTCCAACCTTGCAAATAAGTATTTTAAAGTACACACAGTCCCAGGTTATAAACGAAATCCATTCCTGTGTCTTTAAATGGAATGTATAGGGGAGTCATATGGAACAAATGCAAGTGATTCTTATGTAGTGCATGAAAGGGAACTGTGGTGCTTTCCACATTGTACTGCTAACCAAAGAGCTCATTGATTAGAAGGCATCAGCTACTAAGGAGAAGGATGGGGAGTTTGCTCTTGTAAAGACCAGCAGCTTGGAGACCTGATGGGGGGTGAATGAGTTTAAGCAACTTACTGAGGCGGTGGGTTTGGTTTTTTGTTTCAGGATAAAAAAGACTTAAGGACTAATGATTTAAAAACAGCACATGAAGGTGATTATAATGGAGAAATTTTTCAAAAAGAGGACAAATTTATGTCACATTTCAGGGCAAGTAGAAGTTGTTCCTAAGGTAGAAGTATATAATCTGAGAGTTCCTGTAAAGCGAGCAGTTTCAGTTTTGTTTTTTGGTTTGTTTGTTTAATTGCCAATTTTTACTTTATGTTACATCCAACGACCTTCTGGGGATATGTTAGGATAAATGTACCATTATATTTCAGCCTGGAAGTGAATTAAAGCTCCTGAGTAAAATCTTTGTAGTCCATGTGGATAACCTGAGTACCACTTGGTCTCCATCATTGATACTCTGCTTCCAATTGTTAACATTGGTGTTTGGGGGTTGAAAGATGAATGATAACTATACAAAACCCTAGTGCTGAAGAGCCAGTAAAAACTGTCCGACTTTGCACCTGTTGCTGGGTGCATGCAGAACTAAACCTGCCAGGCAAACGGCAGTTACCCACAGTTCTCAGAAGCCCAAGTTAGAGTGTAATCATGCAAATTCTGTATGTCTTTGCTTGCTGCTTGCCAAGACCACCTATTTGACTGGCCTGACATAGAACAGTGTTAAGAATCTTTTCTAAAGAGAATTACTAAATAATCTTGGCCTTTTCTTAGACAGAGTGAGCCTTCCTGCTCTCTTCAACATTGTTTCAGAATAATTGCAGGAGTTAAAATTAGGCATTTTTAATAAAAAGAATATTAGCCGAATCTAAATGAGACATTCTTAACCTGAAGTTTTATAAACTTTGATGAGGGGGGGAAAGTACACTTTTGTTTTCATTAACCTCTATCTCAAACTCTGCTTTTTACCTCCATTACTGTATCATAAATGAATTCTTTTATTTGGATACCTATTTCCATGTAATTTATTTTCTTCATAATTCTATATATTTTATGTTAAGCATTAGAAGGAATCCATAGGCTTCTCCAAGGATTCTTGGCTAAAACAATAACAACATCAAATTTTTGTTGAGGCTACTTGAGTAAGGATTCTTGGAATTTTTCATTCTTTTCCCTGTTAAAGAGAACTCACTCCAGTCATGCTACTTCTTACCCATGGTGAACCTCTTTTGGTTTCCAAATTTATAAATCGTTCCCCCTTGGAACAGCTAGTTGATTCGAGCCACTGACATTTCAGTTAGCAGGGCATCATGTGAACTATATACTACCAAGCTCCTTGAACTGGAGTAACAGTGAGTAGTTATTGTTCTTCATTTAATGTGTTACTGCTTTTAGGTTTATGTGCAAGCTAACAAAGAAGCAGCAGATGATAAAAATGTGGCAGCATCAGCACAGGAGTACTTTCAGCGATTGGAACTGGGAGACGCACAGGCACTTTCACTCTGGCAGAGATTTCGGGACTTGAGCATTGAGGAGTACATTCGGATTTACAAGGTACCTGTGGTCTTCCTTGGTGTGCGCTCCACTCAGAACTGATAATATGTTGTGGTGATGCTGCCTAATAAGCTCACATTGTAAGAATAGATTTATCCTTTAGTTGAAAGTGAAGACTTCAGTTTCGGTCGGAGAGAGCTATATAATTATCTGGAAGTTCTATCAGGTGAAATCCTGAGGACTCTGTTTCAGTTCACTCCCTTTGTGTTCTTTTGCTCCTGAGTCCTTGGAAAATGGATGAAAATTCATTCATTGAACCAGCACTTGGGGTAGGTAGTACAGTAGTATTATAAAAGGTGTTAATCCTTGCCCTTCCTCACCCTTCCATTCTAGCAGGCAGATAGAACAAGTTCCTTTAAGTAGAAAATATTTATCTATTAGGTGATGAGAAGTGCTATGGAGAAGCGTGGAAAGGAAGATGAGGTGTGCTGTCCATGGTGGGAGGAGGGGAGGCACTGAGTTCTAGTAAGGACACCATGAGACTGAACCTGAATAAACAATCTAGAGAGCATAGTAGGAGAGCTTAAAGGAGGTTGTGGCTGAGGGCGTAATAAAGGACACTCTCCAGAGTTGTAAATTGCATGTAAAGATGGCCCATCTTCTCCCTCAGAGCAGCTGGTAGATTTGAATTATTTGCCTTTGCCTTGGCAGCATAGCTCCATACCCACTAGGCCAGCAGAATCCTCTGCTCTGTGGCTAGCGACCACCATATAGATAGTTTGGTGCTATTTGCGAGGGCTTTACTGGACAGTGGCAGCCATTGGAAGGTTTGAACTAAGGATCATTTGGTCTCACGCTTGTGTTTCTCATCTGTAGAATACATTATAGAGCATCCTATTCTTGATTGTGGGGTAAGATAATAGTGTAATTATCTCTTTTTTTTCTGAACCTCTTTAGCGCCTTGGAATACACTTTGATGAATACTCAGGAGAATCATTTTATCGTGAAAAATCTCAAGAAGTCTTAAAATCACTGAACAGTAAAGGACTTCTACAGAAAACAATGTATGATCACATTACTATTCTTTAATAAATTAGTTGTTTTTCTTTGAAATTGATGTTAATTTATTTTAGTAAGAACAACAGGATATGGTGTGCAGCCTCTCTTAGTGTCTCATACTGCCTTTGTACAGAGAGAGATTTCAAGGAAGTATCTCATATGATTGTTTTGTATCATCAAGTTGGAACCAACCTGTTGCTGACTGTCTTGTGGGTTTTCAGAGGCTTTAATTGCATCAGAGGAGACTGTCCATCTTTCTTGTGTGTACATGGTGGGTTTGAATCAAGTACCCTTGCATTGGCAGCTGACTTCCTAATCACTAGGCTTTTATCCTGCTTTTTTGCCATTTAGAGTACTTTTACACATGTTCTCTTTTATGGATATGGCAAGGTTGTAAGACATCTGCTCTTTATGTGTGAGAAAACAGAAGCACTGAGCTTCACACAACCCAGCAGGACTATAATGGGAAACAAAAGAACTAGCACATCTTCGGACTTAATGCTGACTTTTTAAAAACTTCACCGTTTCAAAAAGAATTTGTGAGATTTAGGAATATAGGGATAACACCTTAGATTTTTGAAGTCGTAAAACAAAGAAATTAGGAAGGCACAGAAAATGTAAAGTCAGGGATGAAATTGGTTTAAGTATACACTTGGGCTCTCTTTACTTGCTAAACATAAATGAATACTTGAACTTTGCCCTTCCTGCCACCTAAACACAGAAATAGTACCAGTAGAATCAATATAGTTGCTTAGAAGGACCACTTTTCATAATCTGTTTCTCCTATTATTTTTATTATAGGGAAGACATTAAAAATGTGGTTAATAACAACCTCAGTAGTGTCTGAAAGAAAACTTTTTGGTTGTCAAATAGAAAATTGATTTCTTTTTTAAAAAAAAGTTTATTGTAATTTAAGTAAAAGTTTTGAAAGATTGATTTTTCCCCCCACTAAGTCATTGATAACACATTTTATTTTTAACTTGTATTACAGTACCCACAATGTCATCACACTTTTCCTACTTACTGCCTGTAAAGACTTGAATTTTTTAATGAACCAGAAAAACAGTAATAAAATCCCATGGTTTTATTACTCAAGAGTATTTTCTAACGTGTTAAAAAATAGCTCAATATTTAATATAAAATAATTTTAATCAAAAGAATAATTTCTGATATTCTTTTATTATCTTTTACCTAAATTAAAGTTAAAATCTCTTTCCTACAGCAGGGACTCCCACAAATTTTATTTTAAGTACGTTACCAGGAACTACTGATGTAGAAGTTGTTGTTGCTACTCATAGCGACCTTATGTACTGAAGGCTGCCTTATCCTGAGCCAGTTTCACTGACTCCAACACACCTACCCCAATTGCCCCAGTTACTGAGTCAATCCACCTCATCCAGAGTCTTCCTCTCTTAAACTGTTCCTTCACCCTTCCAAACATGATATTCTTCTCCAAGGACTGGTCCCTCCTGACCATATGCCCAAGTATATGAGATAAAGCTTGAAAATCCTTGCCTCCAAGGATTTGCCTGGTTTCACAGACCTGTTTGTTCTCTTAGCAGTCCATAGTATGGTCAATACTGTACTACAGCACCACAGCTCACAGGCATCAGTTCTTCTTCTGTCATCCCTAGTTATTGTCCAGCTTTCTGATGTATAGCAAGCAGTTGTCAAGACCATGGCTTGGATCAGGCACACCTTAATCTTTAGACTGACGTTGTTTCTCTTCAGTGCTCTGGAGAGGTCCCTGACAGCAGATTAAGACAACTAAATGTTACTTCACAAAGTCTCTTAATAGTCATAATCACATTTCTCTTCTTTATTGATTAGTACTGATATTGACCTATTATTTGAGGAATAAAACTAGCCTTTATGGTTTGCCAAAGATACTACGTAAATGTTCTTTGTTGTTGTTGATTGCCATCAAGTCGAGCACGACTCATAGCGACCCTATAACCAAAATACCTGAATCTTGTTCTATGACTCTTATCATTTCTCGAAGTACATAGAGTTTCCAGAGGCATGTTATTTAGGAAGTGGATGCCACTCCTGCTTCCAAGCCTGTCTTGGAGCTCCACCAAACATTGTCCACCATAGGTGACCATTATGGCATTTGACACACTTGTAGCTACTGTAGATAAGTTTTTAGGAATCTTACTATGTTGATCCAGTGTTGTTACTCTTTATGAATATCTAGGAAAGGAACAGCTGTAGTGGATCTCTCTGGAGAAGGTGACCCCTCTTCAGTCTGTACTGTAATGCGAAGTGATGGGACTTCTCTTTATGCAACCAGGTTTGTATCATTTCATGCTCTTTGTTCCAAGATTAATGTTAAGACACTAGTCTTATCTACAGAAGAGAAAGCTTCAAATCCTAGCCTCCAAGGAGAAACTTGCTTTCACCCTCTCCAAGACAGACTTATTTGTTTTCTTGACTGTCCATGGTATTTATGTTCAAGACTGTTCTCCAGCACCACATTTCAAAGGCATCAGTTCTTCTTCTGTCATCCTTAGTTATTGTCCAGCTCTCAGATGCATAGCAAGTAATTGCAAAGACCATGGCCTGGATTAGGTGCACCTTAGTCTCTAGACTAACATCATTGCTTCTCAGTACTCTGGAAAGATCCTGACAGCAGATTATCCTAATGCAATTCATCTTTTGATTTCCTGACTACTGGTTTTAAGAGTGTTGATTGTGGAACCAAGCAAGCTGTAATTGTTAACAACCTCATTCTCTGCTATATCTGTCATGGTGCTGCCAGTTGGCCGACTGGTGAAATTCTTTGTCTTCTTCTTGTTGAGCTTCAGTCCATATTTAAGACTACAGTCCTTGACCTTCTACAGCAAGTTCTTCAGGTCCTCCCCAGTTTCAGCAAGCAAGGTTGTATCATCTGTATAACATAGGTTATTGATGAGTCTTCCTCCAATCCTGATGCCCCACCTCATTCCTCCTTATACAACCCTGCTTCCGAATGATCTGTTCTGCATATAGATTGAAAAGGTATGGAAAAAGGACGCATCCCTGACCCACTCCCTTACTGATATTGAACCATGCAATGTTTTCCTATTTTGTTAAGAGGACTGCTTCCTGCTCCAAGTATAGGTTTAACATGAGCATCATCAAGTGTTCTGGGATTCCTGTTTTCCTCAAGGCTGCTATTAGGTCAAGATTTTTATAAGTATTTACATTGCTGTCTGCTTCCTCTTTGATAAAATTTATTTTATTTTTTTGTACTTGTTTCATTTTCCACCTTGGATTTACTTTAGTAAAATAAAAATAAAATTTAGTTCTTGTATCTTTCTGATTCTTTAGGAACACGTGTGTGTGTGTGTGTGTGTGTGTGTGTTTTAAATGATTTTTTTTAAAAAATCATTACAACAAAGGAAGAAATGAACAGGAGAATTTAGACAAAAGCACAGAGAGGCTGGAGACCTGGACCGAGGCAGTCAATCACTTAACCATTTTCTAGGCCATGGCTTCTTACTGAGTGAAATGAGAAAGGCAGTTAGCATATCATCAGATTTGACTCCTCCAACACCAGTGTGTCAGAATGGAACTGTGCTCTGCGGGGCTTTAGGTGACTAATCTTCAGAAGTATACCACTGGGTCTTGTCAGCTGATTCTGCCTGGACTTGAACCTCCATCCTTTGTGCTAAATGTGTTAACAATTTGCACCACCCTTTGACGCTTTCAAGTTGTTTCTACAAACTCACTCTAGAACTTGTTTCCTTCTTTTGCTCTTCCATTAGAGCAAAACTTTTTTGTTTCAACCTTTGCTTAAATAAAAAAATATGATAGGGTATGTGTTTATGATTTCATGTTTATGATAACTCTATATCAAGGTTTGTTTTAACAATATAATATGTAATTCTTCTCAGAAGCCTTTTTAGATCCTTTTTTTCCTAATTACCTACCCCTATGAACCTTTACTACTACAGATTGAGTATATGTTTATAGGTGCTTTACTTATACCTGTGCTTTATACAGAAAAGAACAAGATTTGGGGGTGGGAGTTTGCCCCTCAAGAACCAGTTTTTATTCTCTGTAATAGCAGTGGTTAATAACGACATGTTGATGATTGCCAGCATTTGAAAAGACCTAGACACTAAGTTGCCCAGGTACTGCAGTGGTTAAAATGCTTCACTGCTGATGAAACGGTCATCAGTTCCCACTCCCCAGTGGTCAGTGAGAGAACAGTGTGATAGTCTTTTTCCATTGAAACTTACAGCCCTGAAATCCTTTGAGGCAGTTCTGCTCCGCCCATAGGAGAGCTGTGAGTTGGAATGTACTAATACTTTTTTTTGTTTGTTTTCGTTTTTTTAAGTGGAAACTACTCAAATCTTCCCAGTTTCTTGTATGGTTAACCAAACAATAGCTTATAGGCATGCATTTGAAACTTTATTGTTTATGATCTTTATTTCATTACTTCATAAAACATACAAGCCAGTTATTTTGTGTTTTAACAGAGATGAGAATATTTTTTTTTGTCAGAGGACTTAGTCTTTGAAAATAATTTAGACAATATTGTTTGATTGAGATAGAACTTTAAAAGTCCTTGTTATTGCTGGTAGACAAGTAGCTAGAAGGTACTTAGCTATCATATCACAAGGAGTTGTAAATCTAGCCTGTAAGAGAAGGTATTACAGAGACGTAGCAAAGACGTGATTCTTTCCAGTCAAGGCTTGGTTAACTGATCACAGAACATCTGCCTACATTTTTCTCATAGCTAGTTTAGTTATTAACTACTACTTTTCCCAGAGCATGCATATATATATATATTTTCTTATTTTTTTATTACTTTCCCAGAGCATTTATTATTATTGCTTCATCCAAAGCTATTTTTGGTATGATTTCTTTGTATGAAAGGATGGTTTTGGGATTAGAAGTGTGATTGGTATGCCTAACACTGTGAAATAATAGTTCTTAATTAGAAAAGGCTCATTACTATTAAATAGATAAACTAGTGCCCAGATCTGTTTAGTAACTTGTAGTTATGGCTGTTCTTTTAGAGATCTTGCAGCTGCTATAGATCGAATGGACAAGTATAATTTTGATACAATGATTTATGTGGTAAGTAGTCACAATATAGAGAAAATTTTTTTTTTTTATCTCATGAAATCTGCAAAGATAGAAATTGACTGCCATGCTGGGAAGCAACGAGATAATAAGTTTGATTAAATTACAGAGGCATTTCTATGTATATTTAAGGTGGCAGTTTCTATTATTATTCTCATTGTAATAAAATTATCCAATATAGGAGAATGGATATTGAAATTAAGTCATAGAAATATATATAAATACTTTCTAATATTTTATAAATTTTTTCTTTTATACTGGTTTACTTACAAAGTTCATATACATTGTTTTTCACACCGACTTTCCCATTTCCTTTACCCACCTCTCCTTCTACCCATCAAATTGTGTGACCCTGTGATTACCCCCACCAATCCTCACCCCTCTCCTCCTGTCCTCCCCCATTGGATCCTCATACCTGTTTTATTAGTTATCTTTCTATTTCTACAATAATGTTCTTACACAGTATTTGTCCTTGTGGGACTGAGTTAGCTCACTTAGCATAATGCACTCCAGTTCCTCCCAAGTTTTGTAGTAATTTTTTAAATCATTATTCCTGTGTGCTGCGTAATATTCCATCTTGTGAATATACCATAATTTTTCAATCCATTCAGTTGTGGTTAGACTTTGGGCTGTTTCCATGGTTTTGTGTTGGTGAATTACACTGCTATAGCCACTGGTGTACAAATCTCAGTTGTCATTTTCTTGGCATATATTAAACAGTGGTATAGCCGAGTCATATGGAATTTCTATCTTTAGCTTTTTGAGGAAGCGCCAAACTGCCTTCCAGAGTGGTTTTACATTTTACATTCCCACCAGCACTGTCTGAGAGTTCTTGCCTCTCCACATCTTCTCCAGCATTTATTACTTATTGTCTTGTTAAATTTTGCCACTGCTACTGGGATGAGATGGTATCTCATTTTGGTTTTGATTTGCATCTCTCTTACTGCCAGTGATTTGAGCATTTCTTCATGTTTCTGTTGGCCATCCGAGTATCTTCCTTTGTGAATGGTCTTTCCATTATATTTGTTTTAAAATCTACAAGAAGACTCAGTTTTCCCAAATACTTTATTTATTCAACTTTTCCCATTGCTAATATCTTATTGTCAGTACTATAAAATTAACTTTGGCATAATGTTACTCCTTTGTGTTTCCCCAATGTGTATGTGTTTATATGTGTAAATTCATGTAACCACAACATAAAGTACAGAATTCCTCTCACAGGAAACTCCACCAGCCTTGTCACCACTGATAGCCACTTTTCCACCACCCCAGACCCACCTCTGTCATCTGTCAATGCAGTTTTGTCATTTTGAGAATGTTGTATAAATGAACTGTAACTCTTGGAGATTGGGTTTTTACACTCAGTATCATGTTACACTTGAGAACCAGCTACTTGTAGCTTACAGCGCTAGTCCATTCCTTTCATTGTTGAATAATGTTCCATTACTTCTGTTCTTCTCACTCTCATGGTGAGTACCTCCCTATCCACTAAGAAAAAAGTTACTATCAAACCTTTTACAATTAAAAGTTACTATCAAACCTTTTACAATTTAGCTCTGACCTACTTGGAGATAAAGGCCATAACAGCAGAGTGTGAAAGAATTAAAATAGAATACTCAGGAGATTAAAGTTTCCCTTCACCTGACTCACTGCAGAGCTGCAGTTCTTCTATTCTCCCACTTAGAGGCCCTACTGGAGGCACAGGCTTTGGGTTTGTATTTTATTTAAAATTGCATATTAAATATGTTTTTAACAATTTAAAACATACTGATTAACAATGACTTTAGTCTGTTAAAACCCAAATATGTTCATTTGCCTCAGACTATTTTTATAAATTAATACATCTCAGTCCCTTTTTCTAAAGATCTTTGTTTCCCCCCAAGACAGATAAAGGGCAAAGAAAGCATTTTCAGCAAGTGTTCCAGATGCTAAAGATCATGGGGTATGACTGGGCAGAAAGGTAATGTCTGGGTGGATCCTCCCTGCCTGCTCAGAGTCATTACAGCTGTGTCTGGTCATATTGACCCAGTTTTTAGCTCAAACTTCAGTTCTTCTTAAGGTTTTAGTGTAGAAAAAGAGATTTGTTTTTTCACATTTATTTGTGTCTCAGTTATAGTAACTTCTGGTTTGCAAACATTTAAATTAATATATTTTTATTAGACAGCTCTTCTCAGGGAGGATGTTGGAAATTCTTAGTCTCCCTCTCCTTGTTTTCATTAAAGCAATTGGGTAATTCACTCACTCCCCAGTGATCATTTTATAAAATGAAATTGTATATGCTTAAGATCTTTTGGGACATGCAGCAAGTCTTACTGTATTTACAAATCCTGAGAAAACTCAGTCTGTTCTCTCTGGAAGGGTGTTTTTCTATACCTTTCTGTTCCCAGGTGCCAGCATGTGCCCTTTGGAGTAGTGCAGGGAATGAAGACTCGGAGAGGAGCTGTTACTTTTCTCGAAGATGTTTTAAATGAAATTCAGTTCAGGATGCTGCAGAACATGGCTGCCATCAAAAGTGAATTCTTTTTTGTTCTTAAACTCTGTGTGTGACTTTTCTGTTTTAGTGGTCTTTCTGCACTGTGAATTTTGTAACAATCCCTCCAGTGAACTTTCACTAACCTTGCTGAAAGACACTCTCACTAATTTGCACTACCAGAGTTCCTAGACTTGCTGCTGAAGGATTGTTCACTTCAGTAATCTGATTGGCTGTAACCCTGGTTCTGTTTTCACTGACATCCTCAGCAGCATCCTTGTGTTAACCAAAGTTAATGCAAGTAGTCATACCAAGATTCTGTCCTACAAAATTACAAGTCACACATCTTCTTGGCATTATTTAAGTTTCACCCTTGGAAAAACATAAGTATCAGCTGTATCAAAGGTTTTAAAAGGAATAAAAAGTATTATCAAAGGTAAATTGGTTAACCAAAATTTATAAAGTAATTGGCTATTGTGAATGCACTGTGTCTATTATGAATGCATTTGTTCTTGATACTGTTGGCATCTATTTAGGACATATCCATCATGATTACAGCAGATTGAAGAAAGCTGCTGTTGTCTCTTTCAGCAACTAAAGAACTTGAGGACCCACAGGAGACTGCTGAGAGGGTTGGGCTGGCAGCACTCATCATTCAGGTGTGTTTAAACTCCTGAGAGACCCTTTGATCTGGCAGCAGAACACATTCCAGAGCTGACAATTTGTTCTTTCTCACTAAAGGACTTCAGAGGTTTACTCTTGTCTGACTACCAGTTCAGTTGGGACCGTGTTTTCCAGAGTCGTGGAGACACGGGAGTCTTTCTGCAGTACACCCATGCCCGCCTGCACAGGTGAGAAGAGGCTTTGGGGATGCTCAGTCCTTGCTTTCTGAGCTGGTTTCCTGGGGCTCTGGGCTGGGGCTTCTGTCACTCCAACACCAGGAGCCTTGCCTTGCTTTGTAGGCTTCTCTGACATACTGAATGGCTGTAACCCAGGTGCAAACTCAGAACACTTCCTTGGTTTTGGAAGGTTTGCTTTTTTGTGTTATTGTTGTGTTTAATTAATTGTTGTTTATTGAGTGCCTATATAAGAAATATTTTCACATATATTAACAGAATATTTATAGGGAGCTCTAGTGGTATAGTGGTGAGAATCTATGCTTCAATCCTAAGGGTACACAGTTCGAACCCACCAGCTGCTCCACAGGAGGGTGGGCAGTCTCCTCCCATGCAGTTTACTCCTTTGAAAACCTGCCAGAGGGTCAGCTGTAGGTTGGCTCTGATACGACGGCACTCAATAACAATTATCTTTCATCCTCCAAATAACCCTTGCAAGAATATACTGTTAGTTCTGTTTTGTAGATGAAGAAACAACTTTAGGGAAAATTGAAGCTTAAGGAGAGCATTATTAGGTCATGTTCATAATTTGTATATGTGTCTTTTATGAGTTGTTTATTCCTTGTTGATTTTACTTTTAAAATTTCAATAACAGTTTGGAAGAGACTTTTGGGTCTGGCTTTCTGAATGATTCCAACACTGCTTGTTTAAAAGAACCGCAGTCTATTTCAATTCTCCAGCATCTTCTCAGGTATGAAGCTTTTCTAGTATTACCAACTATGCTCTTTCCACTTACTGAAATGACTGTTGACATTTTTGCTACTTGTTGTTGTTTTTCTGTGCCATCAAGTACAGCTCTAAGGCCTGTCCTACCCTTTAAGAGCATGATGTCCTTCTCCAATGATCCCTTCTGGCCACATGCCCAAAGTATGTGAGATGGAGCTTCAAAATCCTAGCCTCAGGAGAAACTTGGTTTCACCCTCTCTAAGAAAGACCTGTTTGTTTTCTTGACAGTCCATGGTATGTTCAAGACTCTCCAGCACCAGAACTCAAAGGCATCAATTCTTCTGTCATCCTTAGTCATTCTCCAACTCTCTGATACATAGCAAGTAATTGCAAAGACTATGGACTGGATCAGGCTCACCTTAGTCTTAGACTGACATCGTTGCTTCTCAGTTCTCTGGAAAGGTCTCTGACAACAGATTTATCTTTTGATTTTCTGACTGATGGTGCCAAGAGTGTTGATTGTGGAACTGAGCAGTGTGTAATTATTAACAACCTCACTCTCTTTTCCATCCGTCATGGTGCTGCCGACTGGCCCCATGGTAAGAATCTTTGTCTTCTTTTTTTTTTTTTTTATTAAATAATTTTAATGAGCATTACAGAGATTTTGGATTTCCATTCATTCATTGCTGCACTTCTCTCCCTGCCCAACCTCCCCTCACCCCCAGTTCGCCCCGCTCTTTTAAAAGTAAAAGAAACACTCCCTCCCTGGTACACAGTCCCCCTGCACCCCTCCAGCCGCCCCAAGTATATTCCACTATGCAACCTTAATTGTGGACTCTTGTGATAACCATAATACCCTATCATACATCGCTTTTAAATTATTCACTCCCTCATCTGTTTCAGTGCAGTATACACAATTTATCCAATTTTTCTCAGTCTTACCCCAACCCTGATATCAGTCACATTTTACAACAGTGGCATCATGCAATATTTGTCCTTTTGCGACTGAGATATTTCACTCAGCATAAAGTCCTCCAGGCTCACCCATTTTGAATAATATTGCATGAGTTCCTTGTTTTTCAATGTAGCATAGTATTCCATTGTGTGAATATACCACAGCTTCTCTATCCATTCGTTTGTTGATGGGCACCTGGGTTGTTTCCAACTCCTTGCTATTGTGAACAGAGCCGCGATAAACATGGGTGTGCATGTATCTGCTTGGATGTCAATTATGGTCTCTTTAGGGTATATTCCCAGTAGTGGAATTGCTGGGTCAAATGGTATCTCTATTTGCAACTTTTTTTAAAAATAGTTTTTATTATTATGATGATGGTGATGATGATGATGTGTGTACCATCAAATCGGACCTGACTGGTACAGGATGAGATTGTCCCTCCTTCTTCAGCAGAGCATCTGGTAGTTTTGAACCATGCACCTTTGGGATTGCAGTTCAGCTTCTTGCCACTAGGCCACCAGAGCTCGCCTATTTGCAACTTTTTGAGAAAGCACCATATCACCTTCCACAGTGGTTGCACCATTTTACACTCCCACCAGCTGTGAATAAGGGTTCCAGTTTCTCCAGAACCTCACCAGCATTTGTTGCTTGCTGTTCTGTTAAATTTTGCTATTCTTACTGGGGTGAGATGATATCTCATAGTTGTTTTGATTTGCATCTCTCTTAGAGCTAGGGATTTTGAATATTTCTTCATGTGCTTGTTGGCCATCTGAATGTCTTCTTTGGTGACGTGTCTGTTCTTATTACCCTGTGCCCATTTTTCAATTGGATTATTTGTCATTAACTTGTTGTGGTGCTCAAGTATTTTATAAATTCTAGATATACATCCATTATCTGACATGTCAATACCAAATACTTTTTCCCAGTCTGTGGCTTCCCTTTTCTCTGTTGGAGAAGTTTTTGGATGTGATTTTTGGATTTAATTTTTAGAAGGTCCCATTCATCTATTTTATCTTCTCCTGGTTGTAGATTTTTCAGGATACTTGGAAGACTGTTTATGTTGTGGATTAGGACTTATAGTGTTCTTCCAAGCTTTTCTTTAATGAAGCTTATAGTCCTTGGTTTTAGTCCTAGGTCCATGATCCACCTAGAGTTGGTTTTTGTATGTGGAGTGAGGTGTGGAAGATCCTTGAGTCTTCTTCAGATAGTTTTCCAATTTTGCCAACACCATTTGTTAAAAAGGTTTTCGTTTCTCCAGTTAACTGATTTCATCTCCTTGTCAAAAACCAGTTGACCATACGTAGATGGGCTGATTTCTGGGTTCTCAATTCTATTCCATTGATCTATGTGTCTGTCATTGTACCAGTACCACCATGGCAGTGTAGTAGGATTTGAAATCAGGAAGTGAGATGCCTCCTACAATCTTTGTCTTCTTGAAGTTGAGCTTCATTCCATATTGAATACTATAGTCCTTGATCTTCTGCAGCAAGTGCTGCAGCAAGGTCCTCCTTAGTTTTAGCAAGCAAGGTTGTGTCATCTGCATAACACAGGTTATTGATGAGTTTTGCTTTAATCCTCATGCCACCTTTCTCTTCATAAAGCCCAGCCTTCCCAAATGATCTATTCTGCATATAAATTTAAAAGGTATGGAGACAGGACAAATCTCTGACATACTGTATCCTTTCTTGATTTTGAGCCATGCCTTGTTTTGCCCTGCTCTGTTCTGAGGACTACTTCCTTGTCCTAGTACAGGTTTCACGTGAACACAGTCATGTGTTCTGGTATTCCCATTCTCCTCAAGTTTAACCACAATTTGTTGTGACCAACACTGTCAAATGCCTTTATGTCGATGAAACACAGATTGGTATCCCTCTACTACCTTTGTTTTCTGCTAATATCCCTCTAACATTGGTTATAATGTCCCTAGTGCCACGGCCTCTTCTAAACCCAGCTTGTATTTCTGATAGTTCTCTTCATTGTACTTTTCCAGTCGTTTTTGGATAATCTTCAGCAGGATTTTGGTTGCGTATGATATGAATGATATTGTACAATCATTTCTACACTCTGTCGGGTCACCTTTTTTTGGAGTGGGAATCCCAGTCAGTTGTCCAGGTAGTTGTCCTCCAGATTTCTTGGCACAGACTGGTGAACACATCCAGGGCAGCATCTGTTTTTGAAATATGTTAATTGGTATTCCATCAATTCTTGGGGCTTAATTTTTTGCCAAGTCCTTCAGATCAGCCTGAACTTCCTCCTTCATCACCATTGCCTCTTGATCATATATTGTTTCAGGAAATTCTTCTGTGTCAGTCAATTCTGTTTGGTACAGTGACTCTGTATTATCCTTCCATCTTCTTTTAATATTTCCTAGATAGTTCATCCTTAAGTACTGCAACTTAAGGCTTGAATTTGTTCTTTAGTTCTTTCAGCTTAAGAAATGCCAGGTAAGTATGGCCCTTTTGATTTACAAACTCCAGTTCTTTGCACATTTCATTATAATATTTTGCTTTGTTTTCCCATGATTCCCTTTGAAATCTTCTGTTCAGCGCCTTAAGTTCTTGATTTCTTCCCTTGGCTTTGGCTTCTTGATACTCTAGGGGCAATATTTAGAGTCTTTTCTGACATCCATCTTGGCTTTTTCTTCTGTCTTTGTAATGACCTTTTTCATTCTTTGTGGATGATATTCTTGCTATCCTCCCACAGCTCATCTGGTCTTCACTTATGAATATTCAAGGCCTCATACCTGCTTCTGAGGTGGTTTTTAAATTCAGGGGGAATAGACTTGAGTTAAAATTTTTGTTCCTGTGGATATGATTTGACCTTTTTAGCTGTAATTTAAACTTGCACTTGTGTAGTTGATGATCTGTTCTGCAATCAGCACCTGGCCTAGTTTTCACTACTGACACTGAACTCCTCTAATGACACATGTAGTCAATCTGATTCCTGTGCATACCATCTGGTTAAATCCATGTGTGTAGTCTATGTTTATGTTTCTTATAAAAGGTATTTGCTGTGTATAGATCATTGTGCAGAATTCTGTCATTCTATCCCAGCCTCATTTCTGTCACTAAGTCCGTGTTTTCCAACTACTGATCCTTCTTCCTAATGTTCATGTTCAATCTATGTTTTACCACAAAAGTTGGGAGAAATCATCTATTTCTTATTTGGCTCTGGTTATTGGTGCATAAATTTGAATGATAGTAGTATTAACAGGTCTTCCTTGTATGCATATGGATATTATCTTGTCATTCCCAACATTGTATTTGAAGATGGATCTAGAAATGGCCTTTTAAACTGTGAAAACGATCCCATTTTTCCTCACCTTATCATCTCCAGCATAGTAGAGATCATATGATTGCCTGATTAAAAATGTCCCATTCCAGTCCATCTCATTTCACCAACACCTAATATGTCTATTTATGTGTTCCATTTCTTTCTTAATGCTGTCCAGTTTTCTACATTTATGCTTCTCACCTCACTTTTTGTATCTATTACTCTACTCAATGTGTGTTCTATTGTACGTAGGGGTTTTGAAGGCCTATTATATCCTGGAAGTGGATGGCCAATCCTTCTTCCTCTTCTGTCTGAATTTGGATGCTTAGCTTTGGAACAATATATGGCAGACAAGTGTTTTAGTGAAAGAAGCAAATGAAAGATACTTCTCCTTTACAGAAGTAATCATGCATGTAGCACCCTTCCCTGCATGTGTATCCTGTCCCTTTCGTTTCCCTGAATATTAGCATCATTTGCACTCCCTCCTCCCCAACCCAGCAACTCCCTCCCCAACTTCCACAACCTTTTGATATGATCGCTTAGGCCACAAGTCATTTCTCTGATGTCTTACACCTCACATTAAGTCCAACGTAATTTTTTGTCTCAAATAGTACTTCAAGCTGCTTTGAAGGAAATAGCAAAAAATAAAGCCCCAGGAATAGATGGTAT